TTGGTAGTTCGAATTAGAAAGCCTAATTCGAACTACCTACTCCGTGCTGCATGTAGCTGCGGGCACGGAGTCCGAACTACCGGGGATTTAAAAATGGCGGCGCCCGGCACGATGCAAATGGAGCCCGGGATATTTAAATCCCGGGCTTCATTTGCAACTTCGAATGACTACATTAACCACCTTAGTTTGAACTAGGGTGGTAGTGTAGACATACCCATACAGAGGTGGGGGAGAGGGGTTTGTGTGGGCTAACCAATGAGCCCAGGCTTATTGGGTAACTGTGTGCATGAGTACACATTAACATCCCTACTGGTTAACTGGGTAAAAGCAATTTTTAACCACCTAATTGATTAAAGAAGTGGGGGGGATGCTGGACTCCTATTCCTTCTCAACCCAGCCAGCCTAGCAATTGGGAGCCCCAGGTTCCTAGCAGCATGCAGAAATCAGATATCACAGGGCAGGGATGGGCATGTTTCCTGGTTTAACACACATTTTTCACAACCGTGAAATTGGTAGGACCCTAGCTTTTATGTCTGTAGTGTAGACATAGCCTAAGTTTCCCAGACCTGAAGAAGAGCTTTGCATAAGCTCCAATACTTTTCTTTTTCACCAACCCAAGTTGGTCTGATAAAAGATTTTACCTCCCCCACTCTGTCTCGCTAACATCCTGGGTCTAACATAGCTACAACAACATTGCATACAAACTAAATGGAAGTATTTTTATAGAAATTTAAAAGTATAGCTCAATATTTAGTTTAAAATATTGTATATATTTCATTGCTTCCAAAAATTAGCCTTAAAATTAAACATGCATTTTAAAAAACTGTGTACCTTTTCTAATGCAGATTAGCTCATGTATACCACAGGTTCGTTCACCACCTATTTGGGAAAAATAAATTAGAATATAGTAAACAGATATTATGAAATGTATTCTAACATTTAATGAGGCTTACAAACTCCAAAAAAGATAAAAGTGGAAAACTGAGTGTCACTTAATGAGGATATTACAAAATAATAAGTTCCCCTTTTCAGAGGATATATGTAAATAGGAAATATGAAAACTGAGTAAATAGTTCTTTGGTATTACTACTCTACTAAAGGTGAAAATATTCATACGTTTGATTCAATGTATTAGACTGAAGAAGTTATCCTTAAACTTTGTGTGTGGAATTTACATACTGAAATTAGTGAACTGAAGTCACTCCAATTTTTTTCCTAACTATGCTCCAAGTCATCTAGTTTTGAAAAGTTGTTTATCAACAAATGAAGTTTCAGAAAGCTGAAGCTTCTGAATATCATCTTGTCATTCTGTTGCAATGTTTAAACTAAAGTGTACAAAAAAGTTTTTACACAGTACCTCATCATAGGATTTATCAGATTTTTCCATTTGGTGTTTTAAAAAAACCAATTATATTACTTTTAAGTGCTTATGTGAGTATAACATATATTTGAAAAGTCTTTGCTACTAAAAAAAATTAGGTTGCAATTTTAGATTGCAAATAAAAACTTTAACTATTCTAAAATGTTCAAAGGAAAGCAATAAGAACATGAAAGCTTGTTATGCCTACTCAGGAAAATTAAGAATTGTCAGAAGCCTAGAGAAAAAGAATGAATTTAGAATGGTGCTTAGAGAGAAAGACTTTGATATTGTGTGAAATAAGCTGTCATTAAGTGTTAAAAAAGGGGGGATAGGTTGAAATTATGAATTTTTAGGGAGGTTGTCTTGCCATAATTTATATTAAGTTACAGGTCACCTCTTAACCATATCTTAATGCCCACTAAACTGGTTTCCTCTGACAACAGATTGTGTATTCACAATGAACTTCTTTCTGCCTCCAAAAGATAAGGAAACACACTACACACAATACATTAATCTCCCTCAAAACATAATGCAAAACTTTGATTACATCCTCACCATTTAGAGTTGATAGAAGTGAACCAGTTGAGTGTGTGGTGTATTAACTGTTTATGGAGGAGAGTGCATGAGACTGTAATTAAGGTTACCTTATAAGGGAAATTAATAGTTCATACATAGTATATTTTTTTATATGTTGGAAACAAAATGTTCCTTATGAAGACAGAGTCTGTTCCTGTCAATGAACAAATGCTGTGTAGACGTTAAAAAAATGGTAAATAGATCTCTCATGACTAGGTATTTTCTTGACTTTTTAGATCTTGAGTTGGAGAAACTACTAATCTCAATCTCTTTAAACAGTCTGTTTATGAAATTTCTCTGATTTTTAATAGATCTAGTGTAGGAAAGTGGTTTTGTTTGAAGGGAGTGGGGCCAAAAGGCAATAAGAATGCCTCTAATTTCCCCAACAGCATAGGGCTATGGAGAGAATAAGATGTTTGAGGTTGGGGGGGGGGAGAGGAGGAAGACAGCAGGCATGGTGAAGGAGAGGACTAACAGTGTGAAAGGAGATGGGTGGAAACAAAAAAAAGATCCTTTTCTATGCTTCGAACTCCAATACAATAGTTCCCACATTCAAACATGGTAGGAGATCTTGTCAAGTGCTGGATATGCTAAACTGAGCAATCAAGTGTTCCTTATGTATATCTACGCAGCCTGGGACTAGAGACCTGAACTAGCAGAACTCAGGCTAAAGCTCTAAATATAACTGTGTATATAAGGAATGTGAAAGTGTCACCAAGTACCTGGTTAACTGATGAGCCTAAGCTCATCAGTTAATGCTCACAGTTGCACACCGGCTCCTGGCACACATGGGGAGCGGACTTAAACCAGCTCTCAGCGTGCGCCAGCTCCTGGGGAGCTGTCTGCCACCCCACGCTGCTGCCTCTGATACAGAGGTAGCAGTGAGGGGCAGCAGATGGGAGTTGGTACGCGCAAAGAGCCAGCTTAAAAGCATCCGAAGGGTAGCCATGTTTGTCTGGATCTGCAAAAGTGACAAGGAGTCCTGCGGCACCTTATAGACCAACGGATGTATTGGAGCATAAGCTTACATGGGCAAAGACCCACTTTGTCAGATGCACGTAGTGGAAATTTCCAGAGGCAGGGCTAAGTATGCAGGCCAGAATATGGCTAGAGATAATGAGGTTAATTCGGTCAGGAAGGGTTAGGCCCATTTCTAGCAGCTGATTGGAGGTGTGATCACCAAGAGAGGAGAAACTGCTTTTGTAGTTGGCTAGCCATTCACAGCCTTTGTTTATTCCTAAAGTGATGTTGTCAAATTTGCAGATGAACTGTAGCTCAGCAGTTTCTCTTTGCAGTCTGGTCTTGAACTTCTTTTGCTGCAGGATGGCTACCTTTAAATCTGCTACTGTGTGTCCAGGGAGACTGAAGTGTTCTCCTACAGGTTTTTGTATATTGCCATTCCTAATATCTGATTTGTGTCCATTTATTCTTTTACATCGGGATTGTCCTTTTGGCCGATGTATTTAGCAGAGGGACACTGCTGGTATATGATGGCGTATATTACATTGGTAGATGTGCAGGTGAATGAGCCAGTGATGGTGTGGCTGATCTGGTTAGGTTGTGTCGCTGATGTAGCTATGTGGGCAGAGTTGTCACCGAGGTTTGTTGCATGTATTGGTTCCTGAGTTAGTTACTGTGCTGCACTGCATAGTTGCTGGTGAGGAATTGCTTCAGGTTGGCGGGTTGTCTGTTGGCGAGGACTGGCCTTCCTCCCAAGGCTTGTGAAAGCAAGGGATCGTTGTCCAGGATGGGTTGTAGATCGCTGACGATGCGTTGGAGAGGTTTTAGCTGAAGACTGGAGGTGATGGCCAGTGGTGTTCTGTTGGTTTCTTTCTTGGGCTTGTCTTGTAGTAGGAGTCTTCTGGGTACATGTCTGGCTCTGTTAATTTGTTTCCTCACTTCCTCGTGCAGGTATTGTAGTTTCAGGAATGCTTGGTGAAGATCTTGTAGGTGTTGGTCTCTGTCTGAGGGGTTGGAGCAAATGAGGTTGTACCTTAGTTCTTGGCTGTAGACAATAGATCGTGTGGTGTGTCCAGGATGGAAACTGGAAGCATGAAGGTAGACATAGCGGTCAGAAGGTTTTCAGAATAGGGTGGTGTTCATGTGACTGTCACTTATTTGCACCATGGTGTCTAGGAAGTGGATCTCTTGTGTAGACTGGTCCAGGCTGAGGTTGATGGTGGGGTGGAGGCTGTTGAAATCGTAGTGCAATTCTTCCAGAGTCTCCTTCCCATGGGTCCAGATGATGAAGATGTCATCAATGTAGTGTAGGTACAAAAGGGGCGTTAGTGGACGAGAGCTGAGGAAGTGTTGTTCCAGGTCAGCCACAAAAACGCTGGCATATTGTGGGGCCATGCGGGTGCCCATAGCGGTGCCACTGGTTTGGAGGTATATATTGTCACCGAATCGGACAGCATGTATTCCATCTATGTGTGGGATGTTTGTGTAGAGAGCCTCTACATCCATGGTGGCTAAGATGGTGTTTTCTGGAAGATCACCAATGCATTGTAGTTTTCTCAGGAAATCAGTGGTGTCATGGAAATAGCTGGGAGTGCTGGTGACATAGGATCTGAGTAGAGTCCACATATCCAGACAGTCCTTAAAAGCAGACTCCCCACATGCACAGGCTCCCAGGAAGCTGCCTCTATATTAGGGATATCAACATGTAATCGATTATACGATTAACCGATAAGCCTGGGCTTATCAGTTAATCTTATCAACTACACACACTCACCCCTTTGCTGTATCAGAGGCAGCAAAGTGGGGGAAGTGGAAGCCGGTGCCCATGTTCCTCATCACAAGCACAAGCACTCCCCATGAGTACTGAATCTGCAGAGCCACCTGTCCCAGCAACCCCCATGCTGGTGCCTTTGATAGAGAGGTAGCAACGCAGAGGTCGAGGGGGACAAATGTGAACCAGTACATGTGGGAAGCTGGCTTTCAAGCCAGCTCCCTGCACATATTGGCTCACATGTGCTGCCTGCCCCACCACACTGCTGCCTCTTTATCAAAAGCAGCAAGGCTGGGGGGAGTGACAGGCAGGAGCCAATATACATGGGGAGCCGGCTTTTTAGCCGACTCTCCTTGTGTGCCAGCTCCATGGAGCCACCTGCCCCCCCCCCCCTTCCCTCCCACAGAGGCAGCAGGTGGGGGAGGGGGGGGCCAGGCTGTGCGAGGGGGGGGAGGGGGAGGAGCCAATACACATGGGGAGCCAGCTTTTAAGCCAGCTCTCCTCACATTCCTCTTGGGGAGGGGGGACAGGGAAGACTGCTGCAGAGCAGCCTCTGTCCGCAGCGGGCCCAGGCTTGCTGCATACAGAGGCTGCGCCATGGGAGTTTGGCACAGCTCCTGTCTGCAGGGAGCTCGTCACCTCCCTCCCCCGCGTACAGGGGCTGCTGTCACCCCATGCTGCTGCCTCTGTATAATAAGCAACAGCACGGAGCAGCAGGTGGGAGCCAGTCTGCACAGGGAGCCAGTTTTTGGATGCCATGGGCAGCCAACAGCAGGCTATAATAACTTAGATGTGATTCCCCCCCACCTTCCCAGCGTTAGACACCTAAACGCCTCTTCCTCCTGATTCTGTGCTGCACCTCTCACCTCCTGTCTGTAATATACACAGCCTCATTGATTCAGCCCCTCAGAATGCATCTGCCAGATCCATGCACTTGGCTGTGCTATCAATAACCATGGTTCTAACCACAAAAACCTGGATTGTACCCTCAGTAAGGAGACATTGTGAGATATGAAACACATGATAGGACAAGACTCTGGATAAAAAGGAAGATGATTGTTAAGTTGTGTCTTGCTTTCGGAGATGCAAGCTGGAGCCTCTAGTAAATTTGATCTGTAGATGTTATTTTAGGGAGTTAAGGGAGGGGGGAATTCTTGGAGTTCCCTTGGAAAGGACCTGGGGGGGGAGCAAATTCCAGGGGGAGGGTGTGTC